AGTAAGAAATATCCAGCTTTCAATTTGAGGAAAAAGGGGTGGGGGTAGGGGGGAAGAAAAAAAAAAAAAAAGGCAAGAAAAAATTAATTACTATGAAGCAATACAGGTGAAGTCCTCCAGGTTAACTCATTTCTTTGTTGGCCATAGAAACACACAAATCAAAGCTGGTCTGCACGGATTTCCTAATGCATCACAGCCCACATAGCTGTAAAATGGAATCTGTGTCAGAAGCACATCTAATCCTAGGATTCCCTTTAGCTAATAACTGAGCTACATATCAGAAAGACCAAAAATAATCCAGCCCAGGCTGTCTGCTTCCATTAATCTGCAAGCTAAATTCACATGTGATACCACTACTTTTTATAAGAGGTTGTGCATGTATATGTGTGTGTACATACGTATATGTAAAGGCAGATGCATTCTCTGGTTTTTTAGTTCTCAACTTTGCATCATTCACAGTGAGTGAAGTTCAACACTTGAAGTTGCTACATATGTGTATACACAAAGGCAGGAATATGATGGGAAAACTTCCCATCTCTACTTACATCTCAGTTTGAAGCACAGATTCAATGTGGGAGTAAGGTCATATGAAACAAAGTTTTCCACATCTCAAAGCTGAAGATTAAAATCCTTCCTTTCTTCTGAAACATCTGAAGACAACAAACACTAACACTGAATTGTTACAAGGGGGGAAAAAACCCCAGCAAACGTATTTTAATGATTACTCTACAACAGGTGAAATAAATCCTGAATTCAGATCCTTGCAAATGAAAGTTACTGCCATTGATTTATTCAGCTGTTCAGCACAGCTCCTTTTCAAAGAACAGTTCCTTTCCTAAAGGTTTCAGTTAAGTGTTCTGTACACTGAATTCCGAGAGATGATTGCACAGAAAGGCTGCATCTAGCACAAAAGATTGTGTTCAATTCCTGCCTTACACTTTGTTATACTCTCCACCCTTAGTTGCGTATCCCCCCCAATTAACCTTTTATACCTTCCCTTTTACTCATAGTATTACTTATCTCTTCAAATTATTCAGTATGATTTAAAAAATGAGATTAAGCTAACAAAAATTGTTTGCAAACATGAAGTCTATTGTCTCTATCACTATAGTCTGTTCCAAGAATAAGAATAGTTTTAAACACCATTTTGCCAGAATTACTCTTCTCTGATAAAACTAAAAATAATTTCAGAAAGACCAATCATTCTTACTTTATTATGAAAATTGCTACATTACAGTCACTGTTCAGAACAGTATTTTAACACTATGGTTTCTTTCCATTTAAGTGCCAATACACAAGCCATGATTACTGTTTCAAGAATATGATTAGCATTATCTATGGTAATTTGACATAACTTAACCCATTAGAACATTCTACAATCTGCTCCTCCCTCCCCCTTTTTTGAATCAGCCATGGTAAAGAACAGCACCTGTAATACCCGAGTTACCCACTAGTGTTATTGGTATAAATAAAGTTAACCATAAACCACAGAAACACAGAGACACACAGAAATCCCCCAGGGAAATTATTTGTTCTCTACGTGTTCAAAAATGCAACAAGGTTAGCTTTTTTCACTTTGACACATAAGTTAACAGGCAAAAGTCTCAAACCTAATCCACAGTCAGCTTGTTCAAGAGCACATTCCCATTCCTCTGTCACATGTGCTTCCAGAGAGTGTTTGTCCTCCGGCCTCAGTGTAAGGAAACAGAACACTACAGATTTCAAGTATTTAATTCAGTGCCAGAATTTGAAGTGGTCAGTGCCTTTTATTTATTTCATAAACAGAAAGAATAGTGAATGACTGTATAACTCCAGTAAAGTCCATATCAGTGTGATTATTACCACAACAGCACATTAATACTGCATTCAGCAATGCTGCTAAACCAGATGCCTCAAACCCTTTATAGCCAAAATATAGGTTACCCGTTAAAATTACTAACATACTTCTATTTTTGAAATAAACAAACATAATAGCTTAATTCAGGGAGACTGAACGGTTCTGTGGTGCAATTAATTCTCTTCAAACGTCTCTGTTGACAAACCAGGAGTAATAAATACAACCCCACTGCTTTGGAAGCCATGCAGTCCAGACTTTCACATGTACTCTACGTGGACGCCATGCCTTTTTGCAGCATTATCAACTTAAAAGGAGTAAATAATCTTTCTGTTAGAATAGGAAATGATTTCTTCTTGGCAGGTATTGACAAACCAAGTCTCTAGCTTCATCACAACTTCACAGATAGATAGCCTCTGGCTGCAGTTTTCCAATCTTAAAACTGAAAGTTCAGAAGAAACAACTGAGTATTTTCATCTGTAACAAAAGAATGTAACGGAGTATTTTTTAAGTGCCATTTCAGGGAAGAAAGTGGGTATTAGTGAAGTTCCACAGAGTAGATTATTCCACAGAGCCAGGTCATAAACGACGGTCTAGGTAAGCTTTTCATGTTGAATCTGGTAGTAACATGCCTGAATTAAAACAAAGTTCAATTTAGCATGCATAGAAGTTCTCAGCAAGCTGATAAAGCATCATACACAAAAAGGTTAATTCTTTTTTTCTATCCACGAAAACAGAGGGCTAGGCTTTCTACAAACAGTGATGATACAGTGACATTCAACAACTGAAAATCTTATAATATGTAAACCAGCAAAAAGAACAACAGGAGATTTTAAGTTACAAGTTACGTCCAACTCCTAACGAAGCAAGATAGCATGATTTGGGACTCTGAATACTTTCACAGCTCCCCGCTTTGCCAAGATGAGGTACTCTTTTTTTGCACATCTTTCTTTGCCCTTTCACAGACGGGCCCAAGAAAGCAAGTATTTTCTTACAGGACAAGGATGCAGGGATTAAGTGTTTCAAAGCCCTCACATGAAAAGCAAAGGTTTCCATCCCTTAGATAAATACCCTGATCTGCTGCTGATGGCCATTCACTCCTTAATGCTGCTTCAAATATGCACTGGGGCAGCCACGACCAAAACCTAATATAAATGCCTGAGACAACACTTGCACTCATGGAAAATAGATTCTGCTTCTACCACATATGTTATGTGACAAATTTAATCAACTAAAACTTTTCCTTTTTGCAGCCTTTTAAAAATACCAGATATGAAAAAACCCTCTGCACCCAACTATCTCCAGTTTGCACAGACAGAAAATACAATCATGTTCACCTGGCAGCTCAGATCATGATTTTTATTTAACTTTCAGATTAACAGCCTCCCTCCAAAAAAGCAGTACTTCATCTCAATTTTTATGGAAGGAGTAAGGTTTGTTATGTTGCAAGGAAACAACAAACTCCAGGTGAGCATTCAGAACAGTCAACAGCCACCAACATTACATTTGATTAAAGTACATCTACGCAGTGCACCACTTTATTAGCAGTACCTGCGATTGTTAGGTTACCCCAAGCTCCAAGTTAAGTTTCCCTGCACATCCTAGCTAAAAAAATTCAACAAAACCATCAAAGAAGTTACAACCTAATGCTCACACAACTGTCCTATGATCATCATTGCTAAAAGCTGATTAATTTGCAAAGAAAGCTTTCAATAATCCTGAATAATTTTCATACCTTCAAGGTAGTGAACATGATGCCTTGCTCCCCATGCTGCAGATAAGGATCCATCAAGTCTTCGATTAAGTGCACCTCAGACCCCAAATTCCTTATCCTGTCATGTGAGGGAGAGGAAAGGAGACTAGCTGAACAAGAAACACCACTATAATGTTTTTACTTTTCATACGTGGTGCAGTGCAAAACCCTAACCTCATCCTGAAGTCACAGCTGTTTTGCAGTTAACTGTTCAACATTTTTTCAGGCCAAAGCAAAGCACCAAAATGGAAAACTTACTAAGTTACAAAAAGCTAACAATTAGTCCTAGGATGAGAAGCAGGAGTGTTTATATACAAGTACTTACGCTGCCTTTGCTCAGCTAATGACAGATTCTACTCTTAGTGCCTACCTGGCTCGTAGCACCACATAAAGAAAAACAGGAAATAAGTCATCCATGGACCACAGAAAATCTTCCTGAAGAGTCTCAAGTACATTCTGAGAGATCTCTTCAAAAGTCTGCTGGATCACCTTCAACTTGTCAGCTGGGGTGAACGTGGTACTATTTGGAAAGCAAAAGCAAAACAGGATAACAGTAAGAAGTTACCTATCTGCATCTAAATTAGGAAAACAACTCACTAGCTAGCATGTTTTAATACAATAGTAAAGGAGGAAATAATCCTTTCTAAACCCCTTTTTATTTTCTACTTAAATTCTTACAGCAGAATTCCTTACGCCAGCTAACAGACATAGAAACACTCCCCATGCACTGGTCATTTTGCAATAACTGTTTACAAATTTACAGGTATATTTGATTAGACATCCTCACATTTTTGATTCTAAGTGGTGTCCTATGGACACATCTCAGCCACATTAATGAGGCTATTCATCACTGCCCACGGGGAGGATTTGATAACATCTGCAGTAGGAACTGAAACATCTTGGTGACCTCTCTTACAAAGGTTAAAAAAGAAAAGGTGATGGGTAAAGGATCACGGTCAAGTAAACTAGATACTAGTATGGCAACAGCAGTAAAACACTAAAAGACAGATTTCAGAGGATTACCTGATTTGCTGTAAACATTCAACTGCAGAGGCAAAGCAGGCATCTTTTGTATTTGATGATACCTGTGTAATCATGACAAGAATTATCAGGCAGGTTTTACAACTTCACTATTCAGCAGCAGACGAAAAGCAGAGTATCATACAAGACTGGCATAAAAGACACTTTTCCTTCCAGTTTTCCACTGCAAGGAAAGGGGAATGTGCCTGGACACTGAAGTCACCCAGGAAATCTGCCTATGTATAATTTTCATGAGTGTTATTTAAACTCAGAAAAGCCTGTACTGAATTCACTGGTATGTTAAGTTTTGGCTATCTTCCAGGTCAAGTAAGACTTGGAATCCCTAAATCTTACTGGTTAACAATCAAGAGGCAGCCACAAGACTGGAGCAGTTGAAACCTAGGAAAGTCATAGCAGTAAATAATCAGAGGTTTGGAGCAAACAGAAAAGAACAAATACAGATGTAAGATTCTTATATGCAACTGAACCTAAAGTCTATCTGAATGGAGCAGGTACAGAATGGTTGCCAAGAGATCTAGAGAAATTCACAGAAATGAGGAAACTGGACAGAGGAGAGAAGCAGATGAACATGATGTTTTGGTAAAAAACATCCTGTTTAATTCAGTGCATAACCCAGCAAGTAAGGTAAATGGCTACAGAGAGCGTAATTCAGAGAAGACAGATGCCATATAGTACTTCACAAACGGAGGATATTTACTCTATAACAAAAAATAGAGTAAGTGTGAAGAATTCAGGCAGCTGATAAGAATCTTGCCCAGTGCCTAAAAATACGGAAGATCTGAAGTAACTCAAGACATGTGTTAATACTGGATTTTGTAACATTTTACGTCTGAGTGGAGGTTTGCATCATGTTTTCTCGGGTGAATCTTCCACTTCATGATTTGGGAAAAAGGCGACTTGTCTTGTTGGGAACCCTTAGCCTCAGGGGTGGGCTTCAGCAGCAGATTTGGTCATTATTACAAAACACTACCTCTCTGTCAAGCAATAGCAGCTCATCTGTGTGCAGCAGCACTAGGATGAAAGCCAGGCTTCCAATCATTACAGACTTTGCACAAGCCACAGTTATAAATAGGGAAGAGGTGATCTCATGGCAGGAGTACCAAAATGACTAAGAAAATTTCAAATAAAAGCATAGGAATTATAAACAGACATGATTTAAAATATACTGTAAACACTGAAATTGTTCAAAGTTATGATTATTAAACCACCCTCACTGCTGCACAGAGACTGAGTACTACAGTAAGATCAGTGTTCAGCCACTTTCAGCAAGATAATGATTAAGAATAAAAACCTTACAATTCTTCTAATCAGAAAGTATATAATGGTATAACTCCCTTAATCAAGCAGCTTGAAAGTTTCCTTCTAGACTTTTATTCTCACACTTGCATAATTGGAGACCAAGCAAGTGTCTTCCTGAAATAGAATTCATTACAAACAGTAAGTGACAAAGCTGGACTGACAACTATTGAAGAAATCACTAATACATATTTTAAGTAGCAGACATTTTAAGGAAACAAGATAGCATCTCTTTAGCAAAAAGCCTGATCAGAAGTTCTTTGACTGCTTCTTCATGATCTCAGCTTCTTGAAAGAAGCACTGGGCAAAGGTCAGTGAACATACCTTTCTAATCTCTCCAAGGATGGATACAGTTCCTGGCCAGAATTTCCTGCAAGAAACCCAACAGTCTATTGAGAGAGCATAGCCTTACAGCATTTTTCACCTTATGAAAAGGAAGTAATCATTTTCTTTTATGAGATACACCAGCCCTTTCTATAGATTGACTACATCTAGCACAAATAGCTGGAAAATAGCCTGATTTGAAATGCTCACTCTGGTTTTGTACCAATGCCAGTCTTCTCCATCCCACACCCCTTCTTTCTGGAAGATGGAAGTTTTGATTCCCTCTCTCAACCATACTAATAAGCTTGAAAATATGTTTAGATGCATTTTAATCAAAGAAAACACTTCAGATAAAGGCTGAAATTGCTTTATCTAGTCACATACCGTAATATTTTTCTAAGTTCTGTTCATTATTGAAGCATACTCACGCTTGCACTCCAAGAAAACTCAGGAGAGCCATATCAGTTTGTTTGTTTAGACGTAAAACACATTCCCAGTAAATATCTTCCTCACGCTCGTTGTCTAAGGCATACAACATAAACAGAGGAGGATAGAGTCGTGGCAGTAATACAGGGAGCAGCAACCCAAAACTGGTTACCACATAGCTATTAAAAGAAAAAAAAAAAAAAAAGAGGGGGTGATTTGAAGAGGAAGACATTTTTAAAAAGCTAGTTATCTACAAAAATTTAATTAAAAAAAAATCACTGGAACAAATCTTTCGTTTAGTATGAGCCTATTCTATCAGGGATATGAATACTACATACAAATTCCTCAGATAGTATCTGTGCTAAGAAATACTTTGAAGTAACTTTCCTTTACAGTACACACACAGGCAGATTTGGAGCAGGGGGACTGGTTGTGGTGCTGCATTTTTGTGGTTTACGTGTTTTAAACAGAACACTGGCTTTCTTCCTTGTATAAAAGCTGAATACTCTACTATGTTATAGTTCAAGTTTTACGTGTATCTTTGTGCTAACCATTTAGCCCCCATTCTGAACCACCCAGCTGGCAGATAACTTTACCTTCAAAGCACAAACTAGAAAATAGCCTAAACCCCACTCAGTTCCCTGACCTGGCTCCACACACTTGCACTCCAGGCTTCATGAAGTCAGCAATAGTTTGGCAGCATGCTGTAATCCTAACAGACAAAGCTGAACTCACAGTCCCTACTAATACCACCTGCACTCATTGGAGGTCATTGGAGCCTCTCTCAAGGAAGCCATCTCTACTGATTCCTCTTCCTTGCTTTAACCACACCTGAGGCTGCTGTGGACAGGACAAAGATGAACTCAAGGGTGAGCTCAATGTGACCAGCTATTTGCAATACAGTATATGTGCACTGGACCTGCATTACTCCCAGTGCTTGTATCCAGAGTAGTTTTCAGAAGCCCAGGCCCAAGCCTGACCTTGTTTACTCACAAAAGACAAAAGCAAGTTTGGGCTTAAGTTAACTATTGCATGGAACAAGGATGAGATGCTTATTGCAGCCATCACATGGAAGTTCTCATATCAGAATCTGTCATCAGAACCAAAGGGATATAAGTAGGGGTTTTTTGTCTTCAACAGTTAAATATGCACTTATATTTGTTCCCCCACCCAAGGAAAAAGAAAGGAACAGAAATAAAACGAAGCCTTCGTTAGAGTTTTTCTCTTTTTTTGTTTTCCTTCATGTACCCTGGCTCAGGAGATTCTGATCTCGAGTCAGATTTTCCACTGCAAAATGACCGCCTCCCTTTTGTCTCTGTCGCCACAAATGGAATTGTGCTGCCCTCTTCCGGAAGATCAGGGAACAAGAACCTAAGTGGCAATACATAGAACAACATACGATTTCATGTCAAGAAGTTTCCACAAATCACAGAATTAGAAGGCAAGATTGGAGAAAAAAAGTCAGCTGAAATAATACATGGTGGAGTAAGGCAGCAGAGCTAACAGATACACAGTGCCATCTACCTGGAAGAGAAATAAGGCAGGCCAACCCCTCTGATGTCAAAGATACCTTTCCTACCTTGACATCACTTCCCTCCAGACAATGCTTCCAGTAGTTAATAACTTAAGAGTATTTCTGCTTTCAGATTGGCAGGACCCAAATAAAGCTGTAACTCTCTCAAGAATCTAAGCAAACACTCCATAAGAACATTGCTCATCCACGTTGGTAAGAACTTCAATGGAACATACCGAGTTGCCATCCTCACTATTTTTCTACACCCTTTGAACACCGTCTTTTCACAGCATGCATATCCCGAGATACCAAATTGGAAATCCACATTCAAGACAAGCTTCTTACAGCAACATTTAGAAGTATAATGCAAGATGTAACACACTGCGGTAAAGATTTTAATTTTTCTATTTTAGCAGAATTCCAAAAGCCAAAAAAAGGTTAAAGAAATAAAAGCAACCCTCAAAACAGTCAGATACTGGCACACTTAGCCTGCATAAACACTAGACAGTTTCAGTCCACAAGGCATCTTTAATTTAGGAGAAGTTTGAAATTAGGTGAAAGATGAAAATTAGAGTCTCATTACCTAACCAGTTGGAAGATGCGTTTGAGGTAGGACTTTATCTCTCTTACAGCCTCCTGCAGTAATCGCCGATTAGCTCCAACTCCAACATAAGTCATTCTGTAGACAGCTACCAGTGTTTCCACCAGCTTGCCCAATGGATGGAGTGGAGTATCACAAGCCTGAGATGAAAGATATTAATTGGCCAGTCAGATAGGTCAATGCAGATTATTAAATTCATGTATGAACTACATACAGCTCAGAGGAGTCAAGACAGTACAAAATCTTACACTACTACTTGGACTAGCCATCTGTCCAGTACTATTATAATTAACATGCCATAATCAGCAAGTATTTCAAGATGCTTTGCTGGGATGCAATGTAAAAGAATTTAAACAGTAACTGAGCAGAAACTGAGTTGCAGGCAATATCCATTAGGTATATAGTGATTTTAGTTGTGGATTTTAATTCAATAAACAAGGAAGTTATGAGCAAACATGGATGAATACAACATGGATTACAAAAGCAAACATGGAAGGACTTGAGGAAAGCTATTACAAAGTCTGTTACAAAGTGAGCTTGACATCATGCCTTAGCAACAAGCTATGTGAGCATTTGATAGTCACAGTACCTTTATCAAATATTTTTTTATATTTTCATATTTTTCCAGGGTGAAGGCACCAATGTGTTGTGGAATGAACTCCAGACTTTCCAGTGTCTGAGTATGTGAACGGCTCAGTAATTCTGGGCTGCAGTTATAAAAAGGACAAAGACATTGTACAGCTTGAGACACACAGTAGGGGAAAAAAAAAAACCCTGAAGTTAACAACTGAACTAATTCTAAACATCCGCAAGTGCCTGAAAGGGTTTATAGGACAGAGTATTAAGAGTTCTGATTTTGTTTAGGATTTGTTGTTGTTTTAACTGTATTTTTACAGTTTAGAGTTTCTAGTCTGAAGCAGAGCGTGATTCCAGTTTCTTTCTTAATACTCTGTCTTGCTGACTATATCCTCCTGGAACCAACCTGTCTTTGTGTTGCCGCCGGTTGGTGGTCAAGGCCACCGCAATGTTGTCCCAAGCCTTCCATCTGTCCCCCTGGCCTGGGCTCTCACAACCAAGCTGGTTCCAGCATTCTTCAAATACTGCCTTCCATTTTTCATCAGCAGGCACTGCCAGAATCCCAAGTTTCCGCCTAATAAAAAGGCCAGTTAGTCTGTTAAAAATTGGGCAGTCATGAAAGAACACATTCAGCTATGAAAACCTCCTATGACTAATGTCAATCTAATACCTCATACTATTTTACTGAAGCTTATATACTTAGCAGTCCCTACTGTGAAACAAAGTTTATCACTAAGAATAAACTTAGAGCATATTTAATCAATATGTTAACTTTCAACACCTTTACAAAGAGTTGTACTTCCTACCATGCATCAATCCATGCAGCATTATAATTTTATAAGATTACAACATTTTTAATACCTACGTGTGGGAACAGCTATGAACCTTGGTACATAAGACAAGTCAGTCTAACTCTTTCTTGTAGTCATCCAGGAAATGGTTTGGCTGAACACAGGAGGAGCAGTTTGATTTCCAAGAAAACAGGAGATACTGCGCTTGACTGGGCTGATCTTCACTGGTATTCATTCAGAAAGCTCAGGACAGATACACATAGCAAGGACATAGTGCAAATACATCCCACATACCTCACTATCCTGGAATGTACAAATAGGATAGCTACAGAGATACATAACAAGGACAGATATATGGTTTCTGCCCCTAAAACAGTATCTACAGATGATGTTGCATGACATATGAGGGACGTGCTGGTAGAGAGTAAAACTAGCTCAGGCATCTTTTCACTGACAGCCAATGCTCAGAGATCCTCTACAGCCAAAAGAAAACCAAGAACTGTTGTTCTCCCTACATATATACAATCCCTCTCGATGCAGATATCTGAGACATATAATGAAATTTAGGGCTTTGAAAAGCTTCCTTAAAGCAAGTAAACGCTGTCAGGGTTAACACTTCTAACTTGATTTAAATCAAGTGTCCTTTAAATATTTGAGATGAGGACCAGCAACACTGGTGTTTCCCCACACTTCCAGTTTCACATAGCAGAAAGAGTAGGCACTAAGCCTTTTCACAAATTATACTAGAAGATTTTTCAACTTCAAGAGAGCCTGAAAAGGGTAGATGAAACCCTTATTTCATGAGCAATCTTCACAAATATGTACATACATTTATTCATAGACTCCCTACTGGGGTAAAAAGCAGACAGCTGCTAAGGTTGCAAGT